AGCGAGTTCCAGGTCAGCTGGGGCTACAGGGAGACCCTGTCTCAAAAAGACCAAAAAAAAAAAGGGTGTTTATGCACCAAGTATGGTGGTCCATGCCTGTAATCCCAGCACTTGGGAAACCAAGGTAGGAGAATCACTAAGTTCAAGGCCAGCCAGCCTGGGATACATAAATTCCAAGTCATCCTGGGCTCCACAGTGAAGCCCTTTCTCAAAAAAAAATATCCGGACTCCGTTCACCTTATCTTCTTGGACTTAGTTTCCACTGTGTTTGTACATCTGCAGAGGTAGAAGCTGAATGAATTCTTTGATTTGCAGCCCTGGTCCTACAGTGGCTGGCATGCCCTACGTGTTCAGATAACAGGGTTAGGGAGGAGGAGCGCACTCTAAAGAATGATTAGTCAGCCAGGCGTGCTGTCCTAGACACTCAGGTGTCTGAAATGGGTGGATCATTTAAGGCCCAGGAGCTGGCAGTCAGCAGGTGGCACACTATGGCCATGGCAGAAACTAGAAAAATAGTGTAAAGTAATGGTGAGTATAGTAAGCACACAAGCACAGCTGTTATTATGGTGTTAGATATGGTGTGCGATCGAGATCTGTTTATTATACACAGACTGCATGTGCTGTGTCTTTGTACGATTGGCAGTTCGTACCATGCTGGCTGTAGACCTGTCAGTAATGCGCTGCACTGACTAACTTGTATGACGTTACGTTGTGGGGCACTTTCAACTCCATTATAGTCTTGGACTGATGTTATTTGGTTCATCACTGATCAGGATGTCACTATGTAGATGTGCTAGGTGTTTTAATACTGTTTGAATCTGTGTCTATTACAGTTTGCTTATGATCTCCATAGTATGTGACTATCTCCTAGTGGCCTCATCTGAAAAACAGAGGCTTGTTGGACTTTTCCCAAACTGAGCTGATTGCCCAACCTGGCCCAGCCTTGTAATTTGCTCCAGGAGTCATTGGCTGTACCCCCCAGTTACCTGCATCATAACTTTTTTGACTTTTCCGTTCTACTTTAATTGTTGCTGTGATACAATAATAATAATTTGGCAAAATGCAACATAAGGGGGAAAACAGTTCATTTTTTGGCTCACAGTTCCAGGTCTTGTTGCTGAGATACAATAATAATAATTTGGCAAAATGCAACATAAGGGGGAAAACAGTTCATTTTTTGGCTCACAGTTCCAGGTCACAACCGTTATTTTGGGGAGTCAAGGCCAGAACTGAAGCAGGTCACAGCGCATCTGAATCAAGAGATACACAGATGCACCCACGTTGCTGCTGCTTCTAGGACTCGGAGCTGTGCTGTAAAAACTACTGAGTCTTTCTGACAGAAGAGCTGGGCTACAGCACTAAACTGAATCAATGTGCACAGGTCATTTGATGGGTCTTTCACCACTACAGGATTGGTCTTGATTTGATCAATGGGAAACCACGAGACAATAAACAAGCAGGAGTGTTTGAACCGACCGTAGTTAAAGTGAAGAGCTTGAAGTTTGCAACAGAAGCTGCCATTACCATTCTTCGAATCGACGATCTGATAAAATTGCACCCAGAAAGCAAAGAGGATAAGCATGGAAGTTACGAAAACGCTGTTCACTCTGGAGCCCTTGATGACTGACCGGATTTCCCTTTTATTTATAACAGTGTCAGACCTGTCATATGCTTTGAGTCTTACACATTAAAGTACAGCATGCTGTCGGCCTGGGTTCTTCTTGTAAAGGTTTTCTGTCCTGACTCTGGCCCTCTGGTTTTACATTATTTAGTGTTTTACTAAAAGAACTGTTGAAGGACGGTGACTGTTGGGCAGTTCATCCTCTCTGAACACACATGGCAATTCCCATCCCACCCCCAATACACAGGGCTGCAACACCACGTGTGCCACCCGTTCTCTCCAGTGTGTGTAACAGGGTCACGAGAATTCTGCAGCCTGACGCTCCCAGAGGATGGCCCAAGGCAATAGCTCCTCCCTCAATGTTGACCTGAAGGGAAAGAAAAGGTCTTTAAGTCACTTGTCTATGGACAGGGTAAAAGCCCAAATTTTATGTTTCTTCTTCATTGCAGTGCTTAGAAACAAACAATGGCGTCAAGACGTCTGTCTTCCCTTGTTTCTAGAATCTCTCATTCATTTTTGATGTAAGCTGAACTGTGTTTAAGTCAACTGACATTCCAGTGGAATGCTCTTCTCTTGCCCAGGTGACCAGACTTGGGACAGAATCTAAATTGTTGCTATTTACAACCTTAAAATTGGGCTGTGAAAGTTCACTGGTGAGCAGGACAGCTTGCTCTTTTTATATTTACCTTCTCTGGGTTTAATCCAAGTTCTTTGGCTATTGCAACAGACACAGATGCAAAGGCTTCATTGATTTCAAATACGTCCACATCCTCCAGGGACCAGCCCGCTTTTGCAACCTACAGGAAAGATGAATGGAATAGACTAAGTTCAACCATTTGTTACTGACAAAAAGATCTACACGAGAATTAGAGAAATGGCTCAGCGGTTAAGAGAGCTTGCTTATTCCATCATGAGGACAGAGCTCGATCCCAGCATTCACACTGGGTGGCTCACAAATGCCTCTAACTCCTACTGCATGGGATCCTTCACCCTCTTGTGGCCACCACAGGCACCTATATACATACTTGGGCACATACACACACACATACCCTCTTGTGGCCTCCATGGATACCTGCATACATACATTTGGGCATACAGACACAAACATATACAAATAAGAATAAAAATGAATAAAGGATTTACATGACATACCCTCAAAGATAGACCTACTAAGAAGCTGGGACTCTGCAGTTAGCTACGCCATGGTGGCCCATGCCTGTAGTCTAAGAGCTGGAGCGTCTTGGGCCAGCCTGCATACTGACACCTGTCTCAACAAAAACACTATCTGTGGATTATGCCTAGATGAGCCCATGAGTCCATTCAAGAGGTGAGGATGTTCTTTAGCGAGGTGTGGTGGCAAACACCTCCAAACCTCAGTACTTCAGAGGCTGAGGCAGGAAGACTGTCTCAGAATCAAAGGATGTGCTGCAAAACATCCCTAAGGTACAAAATCTAAGACATCCTTAACACCGAGCCAATAGCATCTGCCATGTGCAGGTAACAGAGCACACTTGGATCTAGTTTCAAGAAAAGTCTGACCTAGGCTGGAGAAATGGTTCTGTAGGTAAAGTGTAAGGGACCTGAGTTACTCCTAGAACTCAGGCATGCTGGTATGCATTTGTAATCCCAGTGCTTGGGAGTCTGAGCTGGCTGGACGCCTGGGGCTGCATGGCTAGACAGCCTAAAGTACGTGGTGAATTTCAGGCCAACAAGAAGCCCTGGATCCCAAACAAAGGGGGGTGGGTTGGGGTGGTGAGATGGCTCAGTGAGTAAAAGCACTTGCTGCCAAGTCTGATGACCTGAATCTGATCCCCAGGTCCCACACTGTGGAAGAAGAGAGCAAACCAAGTCTTGCAAGTCATCCTCTGACCTCCACCCGTGTGTGGTGTCACATGCTTGTACAACTGAAATGCACAAACATATTCACACTCAATAAATATATAAATGTAATTTTAAAATAAGTATGGATGGTGCTGGATGAACAATACCCAGAGCTGTCCACTGGCCTTCCATGTGTAAGAAACATCGAATATCAGTCTTTTCTGTCAAACATTTGTGAACAAAAGTTCCCAGAAAAAAACCTGCATTTTCAAACCAAACTTTCTGCAAGGTTGATTGACTGATTAGAACTTTAGTGATTGTGGAGAATTTGGAATGTAGCAGGTCTAGAGTCTAATTACCATTTATCTTGGGCCATCTTAGATCTCTACATAGCCACTCCTTGCTCACCTCTTGTGCTGGATAGCTTTAGTGCCAACTTGACACACCTGGGTAGAGGGAGCCTCAATTGGGGAATTACCTTCATTGGATTGGCCTGTGGTCATGTCCATGGGGCACCTTCTTGATTGTTGAGTAATGTGGAAGTGGGAGGGCCCAGCCCACTGTGGGTGGTGCCACCCCTGGGCAGGTGGGTCTGTGTTGCATAAGAAAGCAGGCTGAGCAGGGGCCAGGGGAGCAAGCCAGTAAGCAGTGTTCCTCCATGGCCTGTGCTCCAGCTTCTGCCTCCAGGTTCCTGCCCTGAGTTCTTACCTTGGGCTCCCAGATGAACTGTGACCGGGATATGTCAGCTAAATAAACCTTTTTCCTGCCCAAGTTGGTATTGGTCAAAATGTTTTGTCACAGTAATGAAGAAACAAACTAGGACACCTCTGTTTCTGACTTCACATCATGTGTATAGTAAAACAGATAAAAAACCTTTTGGAGTGTATTAACTTAGCAGACCACGAGCTTCCACCAAGGAAGAAGGCCTAGAAGCCTGTCAGATAGCATCTAAGGCCTATAGCAGAATTCTCCTGCTTTGCTATAACCCACCAATGTATTTGAAAAGTATTGGGGCTGGAGAGATGGCCCAGCAGTTAAGAGCACTGGTTGTTCTTGCAGAGGACCTGGGTTCAGTTTCCAGCACCCACATGGTGGCTAACAACCATCCATAACTCCAGTTCCTGGGGAACCAATGCCCTCTTCTGTCCTCTGAGGGTATTGCATAAGATGGGTGCACTTACACACATGCAGGGAATACACTCATATACATAAAACATATACATAGGTAAATAAATGCCTAAAGGGGCTGGAGAGATGGCTCAGCGGTTAAGAGCACTGACTGCTCTTGCAGAGGACCCGGGTTTGATTCCCAGCACCCACGTGGCAGCTGCAAACTGTCCTTAACTCTAGTTCCTGGGGAATCTGAAGCCCTCTTTCTGATCTCCATGGGCACTGCATGACATGGGTGCACTCACATACATGTGGGCAATACACACACTCATACACATAAAATAAAAATAATAAATAAAATATTAAAAAAACAAAAATAATAAATATTTTTAAAAAGGTTAAGTGTCTTTGATTTATGGCTTTCTTTGTTCTATTAGCATAAAACGTCATGAAACTGTTACCACATTGGAACATGGAATTTGAGGTAACCTGAATCTGATCCCTAGCCATAGTCACTCACATTTGTCTCCAGAATAAACTATCTCTTATCCCCTTTGAGATGAGAGTTGTGTTTTTGTATCATACACTGTAAATCTTTTAAGATAAAGAATTCTGTGACATCCCTGGCACTTGCTGGCCTGGGTGGCTTAGCCCACCTCCCTTTCGTTCAACCTTCTCTCCTTCTTCATTTCTTTTGTGCCAAATCTTTTAAAACTAGCCAACCCCAGCTGGGCGTGGTGGTGCATGCCAGTACTTGGGAGGCAGAGGCAGGCAGATCTTTGTGAGATCAAGGCCAGCCTGGTCTACATAGTGAGTTCCAGTCCAGCTGGGGCTACAGGGAGACCCTGTATCAAAAAGACAAAAAAAACAGAAACAAAAAAACTAGCCACCCCCAAAAGACAGTGAGGTTGGACCCCAGCTAATGGTGAAAAAGACACAGTATTTTTTTTTTGGTCTTTTTGAGACAGGGTCTCCCTGCAGCCCCAGCTGTCCTGGAACTCACTATGTAGACCAGGCTGGCCTTGAACTCACAGAGATCCGTCTGCCTCTGCCTCCCGAGTGGTGGGATTAAGGGCGTGCACCACCACGCCCGGCAAGACACAGTATTTTTTAATTACTTAGTTAACTGTATTTTATGTGTCTGAATGTTTTGCCTACATGTATGAAGTGTACCATGTGCATGACAGTGCCTGTGGAGGCCAGAAGAAGGCATTGGGTTCCCTGGAACTGGAGTTACAGGTGGTTGTTAGCTGCTGTGTGGTTGATGGAACTGAACCCAGGTCCTCTGTAAGAGCAGCCAGTGCTCTTAACCTCTGAGCCCCTCTCCAGCCCCAGACATAGTATTCCAGGTCATCCTTGAGCTACACAGTGAGTCTGAAGGCAGCCTGGGCTACCAGGAAGCCCATCACAAAAACACCAAAACATACACACTACAACAACAAAACAAAAAAGCTAAAGAGTTAAGACTCACAGCCTGCTTTATGGCGGGAATTGGTCCTGCCCCCATGATGGAAGGTTCCACACCTGCTTGGGACCAGGAAACTATTTGTGCTAAAGGTCTTAGCATTCGACCCTCAGCTTCTGACTTCTTCATGAGGACCACGGCAGCAGCACCATCATTCAGTCCTGGAAAGCAAGTGACTAGATTTGTATAGTGCTCCTTAACTCCAGTTACATGTCTGTGGCTCCCTTCTTTTCCACCTAAAAACATTAAATTACTTGGCAAAGTAGTTTTCTATTTTATCGGACTTGAAGAAATGTCTAGGCCTCACTCACAAGGTACTGGGAGTTTCTGGTATTAGAAAAGCATAAAAGAACTCTGGAGTTCTTAATTTAACTTTATCAACTGCATGTCCAGTTGAGATGTCAAGAAACAAAATCAATTCTTTCAGTATAGATTGTGTAAATAACCAATTATACAGAAACTACAAGCTTTTCCCTTAAACCGAGTTTTAGGAATAATTTTATGTAGAAACACAGTCACTCGGTAGATGCCACGCCATCTCCAATGAAGCCCGCGTGAGATCCTCCGTGGGTTGAGGCTGGTACTTCAAGGAAGGTTGCCTCTTGGAATTGGCTGTGCTAAAAAACATGCAGTGTACTTGGCATGCTTTTACTTGCTATTATCTTTCTAACTGTCACTGTATCTTGGGCTTTCTGGGGGCCTGGAAAGCACCTGGTGTCCTTGGTACCGCTGTCACCTCCTTTATTGAAAATCCTTTAATCATCCTAGTCCAGATGCACCACTATTAATAAAAGCTATTTTAGATGCAGTAAGAAGTAGTTAAACAGAATTAATGCTGGAAAGTCCAGAGAATAACGGATTTCTAGAAGAGAGGCATAGATGGAGGGTTTCTTGGTATTCATTACAATTCATGGATAAATTGGTAAGATCAAGACCACCTTGGTGTCTTTTGACAAAAAATCAATAAGAGAGCATTAAAGGGCAAATATAGAAAGTATTTGAAAATTGGTAGGATAGGAGAGAAGGATGGTTTCATGGATCCCTAACATGGGATGGCCTTTTTGGGACCTATGGAGTTGCCCTATGGCCCACTACAAATAAGCAAGGAATATTATCAAATAGTTAAAAAAGTAATATCAGAGCCAGGCATGGTGGCACATGCCTGTAGTCCCAGCACTTGGGAGGCAGAGGAGGGCGGATCTCTGTGAGTTCAGGGCCAGCCTGGTCTATATAGTGAGTTCCAGGACAGCTGGGGCTACAGGGAG